AGCCCAGGCGTGGAACCGGCAGGGCTGGGAGCAGGTGTGCGCGCTCCGGCCTGCGCCTGGGAGCAGCCTGTAGGCCGGGTGGGGCAGGGGGACCCTTTGTTTGCTTTTCATGCCAGGTAGCCTTTCCAGGCAGAGTCAGTGCCTTCATTTCCCAGCCAAGGTCACAGAGGGTGTGACACCTTCAGGGCGAGTCCTGGCTGCTGACTGGGAATTTTCCCACTGCCCCGCGTGAGCCACCTGATATGGCAGGATAGTCTTTCCTCTAGGGCAGAACCAAAAGCCATTTCTCGCAGGGAGTGGAAGCGATTTCTCTCTCCCTAATAGTGGGGAAGATTCGTTTTGAACCTCAGTTTTCTTATCCGTAAAATGAGGGGAATCGAGTATAATGGCTGGTTTCGCTTTCTCTCAATATTAGATTTGGGCCAGTGGGCCTTTGGGAGTTTCCGGGTTTTCAGTCCTAACCTACTTTTTCTTGGGATTCCCAGATTAATTCTGATCAAGATGACAACCTCTCAAAAACACCGAGACTTCGTGGCAGAGCCCATGGGGGAAAAGCCAGTGGGGAGCCTGGCCGGGATTGGTGAAGTCCTGGGCAAGAAGCTGGAAGAAAGGGGCTTTGACAAGGTGTGGGGAGGCTGCATGCAGCTGGGGAGAGCTGGGGGTGAAAGGCAAGGCATTGCCTGGCAGTTTGGGAGTGAGGAAAGTGAGTTTACCTCCTGGGGGTGGACAGTGGTGTATAACCTGAGGAGAGAACCAGAGCCTGCCCTTCCTCCTAGGCTCATGTGCTTTGAATGTCATGTAGGTGGCCTTACTGTTTTTAGCTTCATAGGTCACTGAGCAGCTTGCCCTTTATTTGCCTGTTTTCCAGGCCTACGTGGTCCTTGGTCAGTTTCTGGTGCTAAAGAAAGATGAAGACCTCTTCCGGGAATGGCTAAAGGACACATGTGGCGCCAATGCCAAGCAGTCCCGGGACTGCTTCGGATGCCTTCGAGAATGGTGCGATGCCTTCTTGTGATGCTCTCTGAGGGGCCCCCAATCCCTAACACCAGCCTTGAGTCCCCAGAGTTTGCAGCTGAATGGGGGCTACTCTCTTGTCCTCTACAAAGGAAACGATTGCTGTCTACTCACCTTGATGTCCTCCAGGGTCTTTGGGGGAGTCCTCTCCCCTCACCATTTCAACTTTTTTGGAATTTTCACTCTTGCATGCATCTCCCTTCTCCTTCCCTTGCCAGTTTTAGGTCAATAATTATTAGCTTTTCTGAATGGATTTCTGGCCCCTTCCCTCACCCCCACTCTCACCTCTGGTCTGTGTTATGCCATTTGGCTTCTCTTTTGGCAGAACAGTCACTGTCCATATAAAACTTTTTAAATCAATAAAGTCAGTGGCCTTCAGGACTGGGCTTTGTGTTTTGAAAAGCAGATGCCCTGGGAGTCACCTCTTTCCCAGGGGCTGATCAGGTCTGCCACATTCCTTATCAGTGCAGATCGAAACTGGCAGCTTCCTCCTCACTCTGGAGGATGGCCACCTTAGTCACCCAAGCCTCAGACAGGTGCCTTGGAGTGTCTCAGTCCCTTGTAATGTGGGGGAGAGTGTGGGTTGATCCCTTCCTGGGATCCAGATGGGCTGTGGTGTTCCAGATGTCCGTTGAGTCAGTAGCTGGGCTAGACAGCACCTGGTGGAAAAGTCAGTGGTAGTCAGAGGTACCAGGAAGAGGGAGACCCAATGTGGGTAAAAGTTCACACGCTAATCATCATGTCTTCTAGCCTTTGGGAGGAATGGGCTCTTGCCATCTGTCCTGCTGTCTTACGGATGCAGAAAGAGCATGAGTGTCACAGCAGGGAGGGTGTGAGTGAGTTGCACTTTTATCTAGTACACTTTCATCCAGTTCTTGGTTGAACACTTAGTGAGCCAGGCCCACAGCTAAGATGTTTGCAAACACTCTTCTTCCACAATAATAAGTAATTGCTTTCTCTTTTATAGGTGAGGTAGCCAAGGGACCAGAGAGACTAAGTAATATGCTCATGGACTTCCTGATAGGAAGTACCTGGACTATCCCTCGACACCTTGGAAGTCCACGTACCTGAGAGCCCTGTGTTCCTTGGTAGTGTTACGCAGGCTCTCTGAGCCTCAGTTTCCTCACTTGGAAAATGAGGTTGTTGTAATAATCATACGAAACACTAGCTGTGTAGCACCCAGCCCTGGTTTTTAGTCCTTCAGTAGAGCAAGAGGAACTACTTGCCTACAGAATTTTTCTCAGAGTGTTACTGTCAGGTTGAGTCTCAATGTCATAGAAATGAGCACTGAACTCAGTACAAGATAGAGTTTATTGAAAGGAGCTTGTGCACAAGGGAGTTGATCAGAAAAGAGCAGTGGAGCGCCCCCAGGAGTTCTTGTGGACGACTAAGATAGTGGCCTTGGGGTAGGGTTAGGGCTTGGGAATGAGGATGAGGCCAGTTGTCCCAAGATTGTCACCTGGCAGCAGCTGATTCCAAGGTAGTCAAAAGATGTTTTCTATGGTCAGTGGGCCACTCAAAGGGCCTGTCAGATAATGCTTATGCAGACATTCTAGTTACCATTTAATTGACAAAACTGTTTTGCAGAATACGATGCTAAGAAATGATGTCGCAAGATGCTACTAACTGCGCTGTGTCCCAGCCTGTGTTGAAGGCTTGTGATGTGTGGTGATAGCTGGGTCGAAGAAGTGCAATATTCAAACAAAAGCTATGAGTCTTTAAGCCCAGTGTATAAAGACATACTCTGAGTTATAGCTTAGTGGCACAACTGGAAAAAGAAAGAAAGGATGTTATCATACATTCTTTCTNTAAAGACATACTCTGAGTTATAGCTTAGTGGCACAACTGGAAAAAGAAAGGATGTTATCATACATTCTTTCCTTTAAGGATGTGGTTAGGTTAATTTCAACTACGGAATTTTACTGAAAACAAGGGGTAATAGGCCTTTAAGATGAGTTCTTTCGGTCACAATGGAGTCCAGGTGTTACCCCTGTGTTGTCAAGAGGGCTTACAGTCTGGTCAGGAGAGACTGACTGATATTAAATACAAAGATGGGGTAATATGAGAAGATTTTCGTGATCTCGGGATAGGGAAAAATTAAAAAGTTGATAAATTCAAGTTCATTAATAGAGGCTCTGTTCATCTAAAAATACCATAAACAGTGATGGGCAAGACTAACACAGAGTGGGAAAGGACATTTGCAACACTTAACGACAAAGGGCTGTGTCCAGAGCACATACCAAACTGCAGTGAGGAAAACAGGTGACGCAGAAAGCTGGGTAAGAGACGCAAGGGGGCCCTGAACGATACCCAGGTGGATAAACCTGGGAAAAGGTGCTTAGAAGTCAGACGGTACCAGGTGCCGAAGAGGAAATGGAACAGCAGGAACTGACATCCGGAGAGGAATATAAAGTGGTATGCACACGGGGAAACCAGTGGGTGTTTTTAGTAAAACCGAAGACCCACCCTGTCACCCAGCAATTCCACTCCCCCAGCTATGACTGAGGACTCGCAGGCCTGCTCCTGCACCTACATGAGCCTCGACAGCAGGTTGGTTTGTAACA